GATCTAAACCAGACCTGAAGTCAGCCTGTAACTTAGACTTTAGCTAGTTGAAAAATGATGACTTCAGCTGGTAATAAAGTATAGTTATTATTTCTTCTTACTGTCATAAATAAGAATAATAAATATTTATCAGTCACTTAGAAAATGTTCTCTGTATACTGTACCTGTTATAGGATGAAACTTGTCTAAAATGCTTACATTTATAATATTATTTTATACTCTGTAGGTCTAAATATTAATCAGAGGACAAATCAGCTGTAATATTTAATAGTTTGTGTTAAATTGTAGCATGATTCAACAGTGCTACACTCTGTATAGATGCTCCACAAGCTAATATCTGCTAACCAGTTCAATACATAAGTGATTACATCGACTTTATAAGATTATTTTAATCTGTGACATTATGTTCTGCTCAGATCACATTGAGCTAAATAAGATCAAATCTGCTGACTTGTGTTGTGAAATGAGATGTTTTCCTGTTTATCTTCTGTTAATAAATCCATAACACAAACAGCTTTTCTGGCATTATTTAAAACATTAGATAAACTATATAAACTGTAAAATATTGATAATTATCTTGTTAATGTTATTATTAATAGTTTTTATGATTTCTACATCAGTCCTATTTTTTCTGCTCTGTTGTCAGCATGTACAGTAATGGGAAATCCAGGCTGTTTTGCGTTAGCCGTTAGCTTCACCAGCCGATCACACGGTCACCTGGTTTCTGAGCACTCCAGCTGTTCTTTATAACCTCCTTGGCACACGTCGATGTAGCTAGCAACGCGCTAGCCACACCCAATCCAGTAATACATATGAACGGGTGCAGCGCCCAGAACTTGATMAATGAGTCAAAAAGGGCACAATAATTTTTGCATTATATTTCATGCTACAATGAAGAAATGTCGTCTAATTTTGAAGTCTATAGGTTTATTTTATAATCAAAGAAGTGTTTTTCTGTCACTTTTAGGTGAAATATTAAGATAACATTATAAAACATGGGACGGGTAACAGGGTCCAAGTGGCACAGCTGGGATTTTCATACTGACCTTGGTTGAGGTAGGTGAGTGTTTCATCATGCAGTTTAATGGCTGGCGAGGTAGGTGCACACAGAACATACTGAAAGGGAAGGATCTTGTTTTCGTTTTCTGGAGGCAAGTTGGACTCCTCCTGTTTGAAGATGGGGAGGGCGAGCACGTCGCTGGAGAGCAGAGCCATGAGAAAAGTGCTGTCAGTAAGCTGCCCAAAACTTTTCACCTCACTCTGAAAAATATTCATTGTTTTGGTTTCCTTTTTTTTTTTTTTTTT